AGTTCATACTCCATTACTTTGTCAAAGGTGGACGTACAGAAGGCCCTGTCTCAATGACAATGTCAGATGGGCAGATTCAATTATGTTAGGATGTTGTGTGATACATTCTAATCCTTTCAGTTTTAAAGTTAACCAGCATTTTGATATGGCTTAGAAAGCTTTTGGCAATCAATGCAGCAACTTCAACATTGGTGCTATTCTAGCCTGCTGGGGTTATTCTAGAGCAGGGGTGTCAAACTCACGTTGTCACTGCATCGTCACGTGACATATAACTGACTTCCCCTCCTTTGCTAGATTGGGTGTGGGTGTGGCCAGCATGTGACGCATCCAGCCTGTGGCTGCGAGTTTGACAGCCCTGTTCTGGAGTGAGTCAGGAATTTGACTACTTTATTATTATTATTATTATTATTGTTATTGTTATTGTTGTTGTTGTTGTTGTTGTTGTTGTTATACCAGTTATAGCTTCTGTTTCATCTACAAAGGCAATGCATTACAATAATCAAAATAATGGGAAGTTATGACATGTCTCATAGTCTGCCTCTTGTGTGTGTGTGTGTATTTGTGTGTGTATGTGTATGTGTGTGTGTATGTATGCATGCACATACACACACATATTTCATATGACATAATAGAATACAGTATTAATGCATAAAAATTCATAAAGATAACAGATAACAGATAATCAGAGTTGGAAGGGACCTTGTAGGTCATCTAGTCCAACCCCCCGCCCAAGTGGGAGACCCTACACCATTTCTGACAAATGGCAGTCCAATCTCTTCTTGAAAGTCTCCACTGATGGCACTTCCACAACTTCTGAGGGCAAGCTGTTCCATTGGTTGATTGCTCTCACTGTCAGAAAGTTTCTCCTTGTTTCCGGTTAAATCTCTCCTTGTTCAGCTTCCATCCATTATTCCTTGTCTGGCCTACAGATGCTTTAGAAAATAGCTTGACCCCTTCCTCTCTGTGGCAGCCCCTCAAGTATTTGATGATTGTTATCATATCTCCCCTGGTCCTTCTCTTCACTAGACTAGCCATGCCCAGTTCCTGTAACTGTTTTTCATATGTTTTAGTCTCCAGTCCCCTAATCATCCTGGTTGCTCTTCTCTGTACTTTTTCTAGAGTCTCAACATCTTTTTTATAATATGGTAACAGCATATAAAACAGCATATAAAATGTTCATCAAAATATTTAACATCAGAGCAGTGAATCATTTTAAAACACACAGCATGAGTCATGAATAAAATTACTGTATGTATGAAATTAAATTATGTATGAGTAGTTACTGGGGTGACTAAACCTATGGTTGAATATCTACATTGTTTAGTCGTTGGAAGCAGTGCCCTTGAGATGAGGTATTTCATGCAGGGATCCTTCTGAGAGGGATTGTTCCATCTCAGTAGGATTAAAGTTTGCAGGACATTACCACAATCACAGTCAGCTGTGTCATACTTCCATCTGCCCTTTTTAAGCAGGAAAACTTTTGCCTGGATGATTCCCAGTCATGAAATAATTCTTTCAGTGGGAATGTGAATCTGTAAGGAGTAACAATCAGCTGATGTTATTAGATTGTGTCAAGACTATCTAAAGCCTAGCAACTTCATCTCCTTGATTCCTAGCAACTTCATCATCTCCTGATCTTCTGGAAAGTAGTGAAAACATGGCTCTGGATCTTGCAAGGGGAGCCAGAAAAGCATGCAGCTGTGGGGCTAGTTAATGCACTGAAAGCCCTCCCTTTTCCTTTCAATGAATTTTTAAAACCATTCTTGGGTTTTTAAAATGTTTAACCTTTTATAAACTTTTTTATATTACAATATTTTACTATATACCGCCCAAAGTTGCTCTGTGAGGGAGATGGCAATTTTAGAAATGTGATCAATAAATACATAATAATCACCTTATCTAGCTTTAACTTAATTTGACATGACATCATAAAAATAACAATAAATAAGAGTAGAAAAAATATGTATAACATTTGAACAGTTTGCAGAACTGAGGCTGAGTTTGAGGTAGAAGTCAAATGTGTCATCACCAGGCTCACCCTGAGGGAGAGCTCAAACATGTCATCAGTCTCGAGTCCCTTTGCATCCACAAAAGACCTAAATCCAATCCACCTTGAATTCTGTTGACTCTTATCTACTCTCAATTTGTTTTGACCATTAGAAGTTCAGATTCTTGTAGAGTGCATGAATTTGCAATACATCTTTATATTTATTTGAATTTCCTGGACTTCTGATCTCCTGTGCTTGACACTAGTCTCCATATTTACAGTGAATAAACAACATTGTTTATTTCTCCTTGTCAGGATACCTTAACAGCTGACTTCATAGTCATAATAACTGTAGAGAATTTGGAGATGATGCCTTAAAAATCGTCACTTCTTTATTAAGACAGTTTTGTACAGTACATTCATTCTGAATTGGTTGTAGAGTTTTTCCACATATATAGATGGAAAACAATAAGTACTCTATGACTGTTACGGGAATTTTTCTTCTGAACTAGAGAAAACAGCCACTCAAGTTAATAGATTATGAGAAAGTTAGAAGAGCTAAAGTCAACATTTTTACTGCTGGATTTCACATGACATTGATGACATTGATTTCTCTCAGTTCCATTGTTATTTTAAATGATTTGTTTAGAAACATTTCAATGTAATGTGACAAGGAGCATTTCCAGTCAAAGTAAGTAAAAAAAATTGGGACTTTTTTTTTTTGTCTTGGTTGCTGTATGCGTCACACAGTTTTAGACTGTGTAGTTTCCAGGGTGAGTTACGATCTGCTGAAGTGAATCTTACTTGGCATATGTAAAACTTGGAAAGTTGTCTAGAGAGTTACGAACATTGCTGTATGAGTAAATCTATCCCATATACTATGAATGCTGAACTGTTGTTTCTCTGGTATCTACAGATATGTCAGACTGTGGTATCCGTAGAGCTTCATAATTTGGAGATTTCAGGCTACAAAACACAAAAAGCTTCATTATTTCTTTTAATAGTTTGTGGAAACTTCCTATGATACTCTTACCCCATATTCATATTAAAAACAGGTGTTTTGATATAGCCTACTACTTATAATCCTGTATCTTCTAAATAGTTAGTCTCTGGAAGTCATATGTGAATGTATTATTTGGTGCTAATCTGAAGAGCTATTTCGAATATATAGTTTATCACTGCAACTTCACACGATCTTATATAACTTTTTGTATTTGGATATGTAAATAAATTATCTCGGTGAGATACATCATATTAAGAAAATTCTAGAGTCACAATCTAAACTCAGGTATGACAGATGCATTGTAGGAGAAGGAGTGGCAGAACCTGGGGGCAGAGTCAAAAGGCAAACCAGCCAACTGCTCTTAATTTCTGCCTTTCCTTATCTAGCACTAAACTAATGCTAACCATTAGTTGGCAAATTCCTGTGCATAGGCATGAGTAGTAATAAATCACAATAATAAATAATAAAGTAATAAATTTGAACTTCATGTATGTTCCTGGTCTTTCATGCCTGACATACATTTATCTTTACAAATTAACATCTGCAGGTTTTTTTGGGTATAAATGGTAAAAATAACGGACTAAAATTTGTGGATGTGATATTTAATATTATTCAACATATGGCATATCAAAGATGGACTAGCAATATCATTAATATTTCACCTAGATTATTAAACATAATAAAATATAAATGTTAAAAAAGATCTGTGTTCAAATACCAATGTCTGGGCCATCTAATCATTGAAGTGCAGCATCATTTATATTAAAAAAAAATAAATCAGATACTGGACCAGTGTATGCCCTTAGTTTATAGCCAGTCATGATGTGATCTACAGTTTGACCTGAGACCCCACAGACACACTGAGGAAAAGATACTATGCCCCACTTATACAGAGAGTCCTAGCAGACACTTTGTGAGGTGCGAATCCTGTTCAGGATTGACATCATTTCTGACATCTTTTTTGTGGGGTCATTTCTGTGTCTTTCTATGTCTGGGAGTTCAACAACCCATTTACTTTCCATTGGGAATTGATGTTAACATTGTTGGGCAGATGTTGTGCAAGTGCCAGTGGGGGTTTCCTAGATTTGACTGTTCCGGCTGAGAAACAGCGAAGGTCACTTCTCCCGGGAAAAGCTTCATTCCACTGACTTCACAAAATATTCTTCTTTGGAATGTTTGACGGGCTGATTGGAAATATTTCCTTAGGCTTCCAGACCTGGCACTGCTTCTGTCTACTGTAATACTGAAGGACCTCTAAGCTATAAATCCATGATATGGAATTACTGGCTCTGGGTCACTGTCAACCCTCATAGCCGATGGCCCATTTGTCATGGCGCTGTTTAGTTATGTCCTCAGCTATTTGCATTTTGTGTCAGTGACCTAACCATTCCCTACTTAAAGAATTCCATCCCCCCTTCCAGCAAATGCAGACCAGATGTTTCCCTGACCCTTTTTTTTTTTTTTTTTGCTTTCAAGAGTATTCAGCTTCTGTTGCTATTCAGAGGAATGAATTCAGGTGACAAACGCCTTTTTCCAGAGTAACACTTTCTCCATTCTTGCTTCATAGCTGCCTGAATAAAAGCAAACAATTGACAGCAGTGTTCCAAGTGTCAATATGAAACAAATTGCTTTTCTGTTTCTTTAGGTCTCCTGTATTTTTCCATCTGGATTGATGAAAAATAAAATGTGTACCTTATTACTTATAGGTAGATAAGTATTAACATCAAGAAATTAAACTATGAAAAAAGAAAGCCGAATGAAATAAAACCAAAGGAGGAGACAAAAAGCTGAATTTTTCCTTTTTGTAGTCAGGATGAAAGGGGTGTTTGAAACAATATCACAATATCCTACAGTAAAAGCCCAATCACTGTGTTTTCTGCACAAAACTCCACCCCTAGGGTGCATAAATCTTGAAAAAAGAGTTGCCCTTTGTAGTTTACTATAACATATAAAAGCTGTTAGCAGTTCCGTAGCCAGCAGCTAGAAAGCTTGCAGTTTTCCCCACCCTCTTTCTTTCTCCTTGTAAATTGGTAATAAGATACACTCTTTTTTTCCAAGGTTCACACTAGAGCACAGAAGAGAACTGTTTAACTTGGAAGAATAACACTAGGCTTTTTGGTTCTGCAAAGAGGTAAGCCACTGAGCTGAGTTTCTGTTGCATGTCTTTTTACTATTATTATTACAGATCTGATGCTCCTTGAATCAATTGAATGGCAAGAGGAAGATAGTGGTTTCCATGCTCCCCCCCTCTCCCTCCCTCCCTCCCCCCCTCTCTCTTTCCCCCTCTCTTTTTCTCTCTTTCTCCTGTCCTGATTTTTCCTTTGATTATGTCTCTTTAGTTTGAGTGCAAAACTTACTCCCAGTGATCAGAACCTTTTTTCAGCTTGAAAATACTGCACTGGATTCTTTTTGTAGCTTTTTGAGCTGTACTAAGATAGTCACATATGTTACAGGACAATTTGTGTGCATGGTTGCTAGGCAACATAAGACATCAAAGCATTTCAATTGACTATTTGCAACCATCATACATTTGTGCTTTGCTGCACACATGAATCTGCTTGGGAGATCAGCTGGGAAACTCAACTGGAAGAAAAGATTTAGTCTGATCCCAATAATATTCTTTAACCTTTTCTCTTCCACAGTTCCTCTCTTTGTCTCCTGCTTTAAAGTAGACAGACCCTAAAATGACAGTCATTTCTGCCATTAGTGGGACTCTCTTAATTACCATTCTCTGTGAAGCAAGTACACTAGTGTTGCCCAATTCCACTGACCCATTCCTGTCAACTAAAAATTACACTGATGTTGAAGCAGCTTTGAAAACTCATCTGGATTCTTCAAGCCTCCCCAAAGTCAGGAAAAAGCGTTATATCTCACAGAATGATATGATTGCCATTTTGGATTTTCACAATCAGGTCAGAGGCAAAGTGTTCCCACCTGCATCCAACATGGAATACATGGTAAGCAGCCATGTCTTTATTCATTTCCTCATGTCTGAATTTGGAAGGATCTTGCAAATTAAAAAAATGTATAATTTATTTAAGTTTAACATTGCCAAATATTTTTTTTCATATAAAAACCACGCCAAGAGCTTTTGAAATTACTGTAATAGATTGCATGTGCTGAGTAATTCAGGCCATTTTTTTCTTCCTCTGTCTATGGTGCAGACATGTCATAAACTAATATACCACTCTAACAGTCTACTTTGGATATATAATCTGAATGTAGCTAAAGTGCTTGATTAATTCTGTATTTGATTAATCCTGTGTTATATGAAAGCAGAAGTTGACTATGATAATTATTCTGGTTATATAGAAAAATGTAACAAAGTTTTTTAAGGCTACAGTCCTGCACACAGTGATCTCACTGCATATAATGGCCTTTCTGAATCAACATGCAAAGGAGTGAACCATAAATTTTAAAATGTGAAAGTATGCATCAAATATTTTTTATCACTTGGAGTTCTGAGGAACTCCTCCACTCTGCCTAAAATCTGGCCTTGGTAAGTCTAATATGCATGTTTTTTTTCCCTTTTCCTATGGCCAATTTTTGTTTCTCTTGTTTGTTAATAATTCTGTTAGCTTTCTTGGAACAGTATATCTGTGATATTTTTAATGTCACTTAATATACCATACACATTGAAGTTTATTTTGCACAATTGTCAAATGTATCAAATGTTGATATATAATTAAAAACAGAATGAAATCTTCAATAATATCAAAAAAGGAATCATTGAACCATAATGGTGTCATTATCAAATCAGACAGCGTAAACATTAAAATGACCTCTTCATATAAATGTACAGTATAACAATCATATATATTACCCAGTTTTGGATGATGTTCAGTTTCTAATGTTTGATAATAAGTGAAGTATATTAGTAAATTCCTTTTTATTGGAATATAATAATTATATCCTGAACTGTAGACACCCTTCTGTGGGAGTACCACAAGGTTTGGTTCATTTACCACTACTTTTTCAATAGCTACATGAAATTCCCAGAAAGTTTATCCATGGTTATGGATGAAATACCATCTATATATTGATGATACATGAGTGCATATTGAGCTGGGCTTGAGATGCCATGGAGGCCTTGATTGGTTGCTAAAGAAGCCCAGATGGAATGAATCAGGCAAAATATCAGCACATTGCTTCTGGTCCAGAAAACATCTGTTGTTCTGTGTGCTTCAGTTTCAATTCTGATGGGATGTCACTTCTCCTGAAAGAGCAGATCTATGACTTGGAAGTTCTAGACTCGCAGCTACTGCTGGATTCACAGGGGAATTCAATGGCCAGGGAAAACTTTGCCTGCCTCAGATCATGTGCCAATTATGCTCCTACTTGGAATGATAGCTCCTGACAATAGTAACTCTTCTATGTGCTTTACATTATTTGAAATTACATTTACATTACATTTACCCGAAAAGGCTGCAATTGGTGAAAAATGCAGTAGACTAGAGTTCCTACAACTAGATAAATTACATGCACTACATTACCTTCCATTAGGTTTCCAAGTAAGGTGCTTACATGACTTCACTTCCTGATATATTTGGCAGCACCTCCCTTCCTCCTAGTGGAAACAGTCCATCCTATGTTTTTTTCAGGTGGGAATGCTTAGGGGTTCCTCCATATGTGAAGTAAAAAAGTGAGGGCTTATAAGTTAACCTTTAAAAAAAATAATCACTACTTATACCCCTCTTCCCAAGGACTGAGTAGCATCTACTTGGCACTGTTTAAGTATTCTGTAAAAACAGAAATTTTCATTGGCATTCAAGGCTGAATTGCTATTATTAAGTTGGACTTGGTGCCATGATTCAATATAGTTAAATTGTTTTATTGTTTTTGTCCTTAGATTTTATTGCAAGTTTGTGTTTTATTTATTTTGTAAACTGTGAGAGTTAAGGTTGATTACAGTAGTATACAAATGCAATGAATATATAAATATGAACCTGTGTGACCATTTCAGACTAATTTGTAGGACTTTACAGGATTATATATAAAAAATAAATGAGAGAAAATGTCCTCTGTTATCAGAGATTACACATTTTGAACTAGTAGAGAGTTCTACCTGACCCAGAGCCAAATTATATGCAGGGGAATACTTAGTTGTATCAATATTTGCTGCAAATTTTTTGATGGTTAACCTTTAGTGTGTCTGAAATGTAAAAAGTTTGTTGTCAATTTGGAGGGTTATTTTTTCTGCAAATTCCATCACATTCTCCTCCAACAAAAAGTATGGTTTGTTTAAATCTTGGTTTGGATGCAGGATATGAATCAGATGGGTTTACTTTTGGAATGGCCTAGACCAGAATGAACCATGTTGTGTTCCAGCTTGGCTCCCTAAATTGGATCAGGTGATTCTGCACACTAATTTTTAATTCACATTAACTCTTTCAGACTACACCTTTTCTTTCAACAATAAAATCCCATAAGCAAAACCTCTAAGTAAAGAACCAATGGTGGAACTTGGTACTTTCATATGGAGTAAACACACGAAAACATTGAGGGAATAATAGACTAGATGGGAATTAACAACATAAAAATACAAATGGATTTTCCTTAAAAACATTTGAATAAAATTCAAGAAAAATTCAGTGTGCAATGCAATTCTTACTGTGGATTTGTACGCACATTTTGAACTGATAGTATTCTTACAAACTATAAGCTGGTAGTTTACTTTCAATTATTCCATGTACAAACTAATAAGAACTATAGGGCTCTCTCCATAGCAGTGTCTCTAAACCTCTGTAACTTTAAGATGTTTGAACTTCAACTCCCAGAATTCTGTCTGGAGAGGTTGTGAAGCACAGCTATACAATAAGAAACACATTTCACACTTTTGGTTAGTGTGGGTCAACTTCAGTGATTAATATTTTGGTTTTCTGTGATGAAAGAACACATTAATAAAGGAATTCAGTTACTATTATGAAATAGCAGAATTTCTACTATTGCATTTTCCCCCATACCATCTGATTGCTCAGTTTCCTTACCTTCCCCGCTACATGCTCATAAACTCTAGAATGGGGAGAAATAGCATGAATATGATGAAAAAGTACAAGGTCCTCCTATAACAATCCTTTAGAGAAATTGACTTATACGTCAATATTTTGCAACTATCCAGGAGTTATTTCTTAGCTCCATATTGTGATTCACACACAACTGGGATTTTTTATTTCTTTATATGGCCAGCATCTTAAATGCATAATCCTAAAATAACAAAAACAACCATGCATATGCACGCATGCGCGCGCACACACAATAAAACTCCAAAATACAAATGCAAAGTAAGTTAAAGTTACCATAACACAATAGCCAAGTATAATAATAAATCTACAATATAGCTGCACCTGTTTTGGCCTCAACTCTTATCCCATCCCAGTACCTGGGGAAAGAATCCTCTTCACAGCTTTCTGGAAAAGCTTTGGGGCCCTCAGGAGGAAAGAAAGAAGCTCAATATAGTGAAAATGTCCACAAATTGGCTATTGCTTGTCATAGACGCCATCTTCAGTGGCAGTTCAAGGATAAAAGATCATGTTCAATGAATTAGCTTTTAATTTTATTTTCCTTTATTGGCAAGCAAGCCTGCATTGTACTGTAAAAAATAAAAAATAAAAATAAAATAAAAATAATCAGGAACATGAGGCAATTGATTGGGCCAAACCCCGTGTACTGAGTGCCAAAATCAAACTATGGAAGGAAGGATCAGCTTCCTTGGATTATTCCTTCTTTTCTTCTTCATCTATGGCTCCCCCAGAAAACTGCCAGAAAAGAGACAGACTGCTTCTGTCCAGAGATTGCACAGCCTTTTGAAATTGGACCAACAAATGCAGGAAATTAAACAGAGGCCTGCATACATGCCTTGAACCACAGATTGCACACTTTTGTCTTAGGCCGTATAAAAGGATTACACAGTCAGTGAAACTATTTACTTTCAAGTTCTTAAAAGGAAGTGAAAGCATTAGCATAGGAATGGGAAAAAATCTGGAAAAGTGCATTTGGAAAAGTTTATTATGATTTTACATATTAAAATCCAACATACTTCTGAATATGATAATACTTCTTGAGATACTAATATGCCAATTTAACACCAAAAATGAAAGCAATACTGCTTGTCATCTGAGAAAGAAAATATGTAGTTCTGCATATGTGTATGTGTGTACATTTTTGCAAAGTAGTTAGGGAAATGATAGGTGTTTCATTACTTCAGATATAGTTATGTCAATCTGGGGAATAGCGCAATATGCAATTTGCATGTATCTAATGTTCTAAGAGATGGCATTTATCCTTGAATGTCTTACCCCTTGAGATCACAGCTGAATCAACTGTCCACTTTTAAGACTTAAATTGATAAAAATAGTTCACTTAGTCAGTGAAGTGACTAATGCTGACATCAGAAGCATAAATTTTAAAATAATGCCAATCATTTTAAAGCTACATAATCTAGCACTGATGTTTGTAACTTAATTGCCTGGATAAAAATCAAGATGCTGTCTGGAACTGAGGATGAATTTCTCAACAGCTTAAGTTTGTTTTTATTTTATATGTAAACAAGATTACAAGTCATATCTTTTCTGAAGCATTGACATTTTTTTTTTGTTTTAGAAAATGGCCCTTGTACTTCTGGACTATTTACTGTATGTTAACTCACAGCTTTGAAAAAGTAAAACAATCAATCTCAATATTATAATTATTTTTAATATTTAATTTATCAATCAATCAAATAGATAGACAGTGTGGTTCAGTGGTTAAGGTGATAGACTAGGAATGGAAGCCTCAGGGTCATCGAAGCTAACTGGTTAACTAACTGCTTTCTTTCAGCACTGGACGAGGGAGTTAAGAAAATCAATCTACTATCCTAAACTGGACTAGTGGGTAGACTGTAGTCCATACTTTCAAGAACAGTTCTTTAATCTTTATCATTCAAATAATAACATAACTTTATGTAGATGAGAAGATAAGC